CCCTTAAACTGAAACTGCGAATTTAAAAATAAACCAACGGAAACTTTCCCACAGTCTTATGACGTGTTACAAGAACAGCAGTTTGTTTATGGTGAGCTAGGAAGGTACCCCATTGACTATTTTATCAAGAAACAACGACTTAAATATTTCAACCGGGTAACAAACTCTGATAACACATTACTAAGAGAAGCCTACTTAGTAAATAAGAATGTAAAAAGTAAATGGTTTACTAGTGCAGAAACCCTCATGCAAGATATAGATGTTGTCACCATTGTAAACTCAAGTGAAAAAATAATTAAGAAAAATTTAGACTTTATTCATAAAAAAATAAACAAATCATTTGAGAACCAATGGATCTTAGACATGCATAATGATAATAGAAAACAAACCTTGGCTAAAAACAAACTAAGAACATACAGACTTTTCAAACAAGATTTAAAAATTGAAAATTACCTAATTAATATGCAGAACCATGGTCTTAGAAGGTTAATTGCAAAATTCAGGACAAGCAACCATGACCTTAAAATTGAGAAAGGCAGACATAATTATGTGCCGCTGGATAAAAGAACATGTGATATGTGCAGCCAAAATATAATTGAGGATGAGCAACATTTTGTAATGAAATGTCCAGCTTACAGTCACCATAGGGACAAATTATTCCTGACTGCACAAAATAAAGTTCCAAATTTTGATAAAGAAAAGAGTCAGAATAAATTCATTTTGATTATGGCAAACCATACTCTAGCACCAGCCTTAGCAGTCTTCCTAAAAAACAGCTATGGAACAAAACAGCAACAACTATCAGTGTATTAGGCAACATTTTGTGTTCATTCCATATTCTGTATTCACCATTGGCTGCAAATTGTCTTTATTGTTTTTGATTTGTTTTATTTTTTTAGAAAAGTTTTTCTTTTTTGTTTTCTTTTTTAGATTGTAGTTTGTTTTAATTTCTTTCTGTAAGACCCTTTTTATCCTTTCCTAAGGATTTTATGCGTCTAATAAAAATATATACAGTATCAAAAAACAATATTAAAAATTACATTTACTCGTCCGTACTGCTAACAATTGTGAGATATAAATCCAGTATTGAGAAATTCCAACAATCCATACCCAGGCCATTTCGATTTTTACCTAACTTTTCCAAATAAAGGAAAGACGATGAGACAACAGCTTATGCATGCTGATCACACTGGATACAAATATCGATGTCGGATGACTAATTTGACTAATTTTCACTGGGTTTAAATTTCACTGATTTACCATTTCAGGCATATTCAGTGGGTTTTAAATTCACGGTTTCATCATTTAGATAATGTGTTCTATGCTAAATTTTACATATTCACTGGGTTTTAATTTAGCGCATTTTCCAGTCAGCGAAATAAGCTAATTTAAAACCCAGTGAATAATTACCCCCTTTACAGTATTAACGACAATAAGCAAAATGTCAAGACTGAACATATAATCATAAAAAACTAACTACCTGGTGTTGCATATCGTAACTTGTCAGGATGGCGTCAACTTCAATTGAAAGTTAGAAACATCCTGTATGACTTCAGTTGTAATCAGCTGGGTGTCAGGTGACAATTTCTTGACGTTGATGGTGTGGGCGCTGTTTCAATAACAATAAAAAAATCTGAGACACTCCGTTGCGTACACTGACGCGTGGGAATATTTTTTTGTAAAAAAAAATGTATTATGATATATTGAATAACATGATTATTTCGTCCTACTAAACATTACGTCAAAATGGCCAAGTTTTTCTTTCTTTTTTTTTCTTTTATTGAGTCACACTTTACAAATGCACATTTCATGTATGCAAACATTACTTAGCATAGCGCCAGCAGCGGTGAACTCAAATAATAAAATACCTTACAAATTACTAGTAGGTACATCCCGAATCGCTGTGTTTATTTTGGCTAGGCCTGTGTCACAATATAAAGGAATTATTCCCATCTGTTTTCCAAGTTTTCTTGTTCTATTAGCAATAAACATTCTGCGCAAAATATTTAAAACTAAAGCTTGGTATCTTGTTTGACATCTGTAAATATAAATAAACTTGTTTTGCAGATATAAAAAAGAAATTGAAGAAGAAATTAAGGAGACTGTCACCCACGAATGTATTCGGAGTTGATTTAAAAAAAATTCCTCATTTCTCAAATAGATATTTCCAAAACTTACTGTTGACACAACAAGATCATTACTTTCACAGAAAATGATAGTTCCGACTTTGGAAAAATAAAACTATAAGTGTACGCTAAATTTGAACAAAGTACTTTGAGAAGCAATTTTTGAATCACAGGGCTTTTGAAACTACAGGTCAGCTACTAAAAAGCAATTTTCATCCAACATTTTTGACCTTCCAGCTAACGTCTTTTTTTTCCAACCTACTTTTGACTTTTTTGAATTAGAATGCGTTGATTCGTCTTTTCAAGCAACTTTCAAGCTATCTTTCGCTACTTTGCAACATATTGTTAGACTTTTCACTTAGCATTTCCGACTTTCCAGCTAACTTTCGCAACTTTTGAACCTTTTCTCGACTTTTCAAGTAAACTTTCAGAACATTTTAACCAATTTTCAGGCAGTGAAAAATACGGTCCCGTCTAACAGGTAACATAGTTAATTTCGAACACCCCAGAAGTGAAAAGCAATGTTCCATTCACTGGGCACTTGAAACTTTTATCTTTCAACCCAGCGTTGCTACGAAAAAAAATGTTGATAATCTCTGTCTATTTTGAAAGACATTGAATATATGCAAGGTTCGAAAAAAAATGTGTGCCACATTTGTCCCTCTCTTTTATTTGCAGAAAGACACATATTTCCCTGTGACATGTTGAGTAGACTATCACGGGGGGGGGGGATTCTTCTCTCTGGGGTCCTCCGCACGTGTCAGGGGGGGAATCTCGTCTCGTCTCTCTATCGCGTCCCCTTGAGGTACGGGATCGGGAAAGTCACTTAAGCTTTACAGTCAAATAAGACACACACAACGAAATACGTTTCAACTCTCGTCTTAGTCGGTCAGTCGAGCACTCTATAACCAACAGCGCCCTGGGGAAAAGTCCCCAAGACTATCGCAAGGCTGATCCAAGACTCGCCCAAGACTGTGTCAAGACTCGCCCCAAGACTCTCCAGGACTGGACTGCGTAGTCTGTCCTGGTGTACTCGCCAAGACCAACTAAAACAACTTTATTCACTTTCAAAACCTTGACCAATTACAAAGAAGTAAAAAGACTGTAGGGCGTAACCTGCAATCATAAAGCCAATCACACTAAGTACTGGATACGTCATATCTTTTGATTAATCGTTCACTACATTAGTAACTGCGAATTCCAACTGTCAGAAATAGTAGTCCGAATAGCGACGGTTATATCGTAATTAGTTCCAAATCACTGAGTCGAGTTCCGTCCAGAACCTCGCCTCCCTAAACGATGACAGACATAACACAGCAATTCGCTAGTATTCAACTAATTAAGTCGGTCAACAGATACGCAAAAACAAATTTATCACAAGACAAACGTTTTATGTTTGGTGGATGTATTGTCAGTGACCTAAAAAAATGCATATGGTGAATTTGCATTTTGTCAACAGCCTTCTTTTCATTCAAACACGAAATGTTATTATTCTACAAACATAATGTAAATATAATTCGTACTTTTTTGTTTTTTGTTTGTTTTTAGTAATATTTTATTGGGGTATCTCATATGAATTACAATACTTGAAATACACAATAAAATAGGATTACATTTCTTGTATTTTCTTGCTCATTTATAAGTTCCAATACTTGGTTTATAACTAGCTTCAATGACCTCAGGTACATTTATTACATCAGTCTAACCCATAACTTTCAGAAAATTTCCCCATTTTTTAAGGTGTCCTTTTAATTTATTTTTTCTGATTGCAATATGAAATTCTATACTTTGAACATTTTGCATGTATTTTCTATAAGCCATTAAATCCGGCTTCTGTTTTTTACACCTTGCACTGTATATGTAATATCTGGCTGCCAATAATGTAAAATTTAAGAGAATGGGAAAATCTTCATCTCCAAGGATAACCTGTATGGGATTAAGTGTATTTACCAATCCCATTTTCCTTCCCCACAGCATGTAAAAACCATCCCAGAATTCCCTATAAAATACATCGTAAAATAGATGTAACAAAGTTTCATCCTGTTCTCGCAAAGGACACTTTGA